AGAGAGAGAGAGAGAGAGAGAGAGAGAGAGAGAGAGAGAGAGAGAGAAGGAACATGTACATGGGGAGAACAAGGTGGCAGGTCCATCTGTCATACAGAAGCAAGCCAGATCCAGCACCTGTGTTTTCACACACACATTCACATAAACACACACACACAAAAGCACACACACGCACACACCATTTGGGAGGGAGGCCTTCTCAAAATAACCTGAAATACTCTTATACACCAGCAGCACCACAGTTCCTCATCATAGATTATGGCATAGAGTTGATGAGCAGCTGAAATGGATCTGTTTAGATGACGACGACGGTCTGAGCGAGGATATCGAAACCTCTAAGCCATGACCATAACGAAAGTGAGACCGAAGTTCCAATTAACTGCTGTACATTGTTGTCGTTCGCTAAACAGATATCAATGATGGAAAGCTGTATGAACGGATGACCAGACACAAACATAAACAAATCATTCCATCCATCGATATCAACTCCCATATGGCTCTTACATGTCCCCTCAGGTGATTTCAGTGAAATGTTAATGGGTCGGAAGTGATGGGAAGGTGGTGTTCAACCACAAGGCGGAGCTACACACCAACATTTCTTCACCACAGTGACATAATCTTCAGTTATGTCCGAGGCTTTTCCAGCAGACAAACTTTGAAGCCTCTGTGACTGACAACTGACTCGGTGCAGAGACAAACGAATGACAGCGTATAATTACCTAGAACTAAGACACGCACTCCTCAGCTCTGACTGCCGGCAGCGCGAGGAGGCTGCCGCAACTCAGCCCAACACACACACACACACACACACACACACACACACACACACACACAATCTACTGCTGACAGCGTAACAGATGATTTAATGAAAATAATACATGAACTGATGATCACTCATGCCAGAGTTTAAAAAAAGATGTAGTGGGGGGTTGATACAAAAGAAGAAATACAGGAAATGACAGAAATGAGGCAAGACAATGAAAACGAGAGGAAATCAAAGAAGCAGAAGAAACCTGGACCATTTTAAATCCTGTTTTATGTTTGTCTGTCATCTGTGGCTCATGGCTTGAGTTTTTTATTAAGAGAATGACAGAGAATTGAGTAAAAATACTTTTAATAGCACTTTGATCACCACTACCATAAAATGAAATGTGTTAGCAAATAACTGGATATTCCTAATTTGCATATCCTTTTGTTATTTTATGGATTATTTGCCGACTCTTGTAAGATCCCACAAAAGGCCATAATTATGATTTACCAAACATAACTAAAACCTACAATTCAAAAAACAGTAATATAATTAGAGAGTTTGACCGATAGTGGATGTTTAAAGGATGATATAACAATTATGGAGCAGGAAAAAGCCAATCGCTGATAGCTACCATGAGCTGATAGTGTTGCGTTATAAATTCAAGAGATAACTTTTATTGGGAGAAATAAACCGACAAGTGGGTCAGTTTATGACTCGTCAGTTTGCTGTAAAATCAGCATGGTGCGTTGAATGTTTTTTAATGGAGTGGATGATTGCTATCTACAAAATAAATATCTAAGACTAAAGTCTGTCGTGCATTTCGGTGGAGTGCCACTCCATGGGGTCTCAAACTGTTAGATTTCTATCCAGAGTTAATCACATGCACACAGATATTTGCAGCATAAGTGGCCCTCCATGCGAAACGGTGATGTACGTCCACACTAATGGCGGCTGCGTAGGACTGGGCCACTATAGGAGCACTGTTCTGCCAATAACGATAACTAACGTTTGTAAAACATCCTGATGGCACCTAGTAATCAGTCAATATGAAGTACAGTAAGAAACATCAACAAACACATGGAGCTAAATGAAGTGTGTGTATTTGTGTGTGTGTGTGTGTGGTCAGAGTGATGCAGAGCAGTACAGTGATGTAACACAAATCTACAGATACAGCCCAATCAACCAAAATAAAAAGATTACCCTGCTACGCTGTGCTAATACGAGTGTGTGCGAGGGAGATAGAGGGGGAGAAGAAAGAGAGAGGGAGCCAGACCGACGCAGACCGAGTGCAGAACAGAGATAGTAATGGGCCTCATTACTAAAAAATGGGGCAAGGATTCGACTGAATCCCTTCATGCACAGTTCCCCAAAAGTATTCTCCTGGTACAAAGAAAGGCTCTGTGCATGGAAGAAAATTTAGGCCAGTATCCTTGACTTCTAAGTACTTTCAAAAGAGACCTATCTAAGTCTGGAGCCATACTGAAACAGGTCTCCTTACTTCTGTCTGCCTCTGCCACCTTGACCAACACTGTAAAGTCATCAGCTTCTGTTTTTGAAGCCATTAGATTGGATTTAAGAACAAACTGGTTATACATTACAACACAATGAAGCTCTCCTTTTGGCTAAAAATCTTCCTCTATCTAATCTCTAACGTGTCATTTTTTCAGGGATATGACAAACAGGCTTTAATTTAAGCTTGACTGCCTTCTATTTTTGCCAGTGACGTTCAAAGCAGGTTTCAAAAGCTCATGGTTCCCAGAGAACTGTAGAGTCATGTTAGAGTCACTTTAAAGGGAAAGTCTATAATCAAACTGTAAACAAAGGAGTAGCCCCACAACAAAATAAATTCCACTCTTGCAATAAACTACCTGTTTGACGCAAGAAAAGCATGATGTTTTCTTTAAAGCACAAGCACTTAATTAAGAATTAAGATGATGTGATCTTGGTCGATTAGATTCATCAAGTCAACAGCGACTTGAAGCAAGAAATATTTAACCGAAACCACAATCTTTCCCTTAACATAAAGTGCTTTTGTTGGCTAAACATAACCACGTGAGATATGAACCGTCACCAAACATCATCCAGGCAGCAACTACATTTCCCAAAAAATGTAAAAGAAAATTGTAGTTTATACTGTAATCAGGGTTGGGTTTGGAACATATGACTCCCAAATTGATTTATAGAGACACTGGACACCACGAACCAAGAACAAGAAACAACTTGTATTCTTCTGGTATTGTTAAAAGGTTGTGTACAATATCAATATTTTGTTCACATAAAACTGAACAGTTGTTTGAATTATGATCAAGTCAGCCTTAGTTATGTATGAATATAACTCAAAATGTATGCGCTCAAATTGATTTCAATTTGAGTCAAAACATAAAAAAATAACCAAAAGGTTTTAATAACATCTGGCCTCAAATATAAAGCATTTGTCAACAAAGTTATTTTTAGGTATGGATTGACGGACGGACATAATCTCTCGGACGAACGTGATGCAACAGTGAGCCCAGAGCCATGCGTGTGTTTTTCTTAAACAGAGACAGGCAGGTAGACAGAGCCGATGTGATGGGGAAGGGATTGACAATGTGTCAGTTTAATGTGCGATTGTATGTGTGTGTGTGTGTGTGTGTGTGTGTGTGTGTGTGTGTGTTTGGCATACTGATGACAGAGCCAGAGCCTTAGTTACCTGAGCAGGCGTGATGTGTGTGTGAGTGACGTATCCGTGAACGTGTTGAATCTGAGACAGCTGCCGCTCCGCCACCTGAACCAGCTCCGCGCCCCGCAGGTCACTGCGGCGACCGAGAGATCCGTCCCTCCCCAGTGATCGTTCCCTGACTCTCTCCATGGTCCCGGCACCCCCTCCCTCTCTCCTCCAGGTACTCCCTTCCCTCCAAGTACCCACTTCCCTCAAGGTCCCCCCTTCCCTCCCCTCTCTCCCCTCTCTCCCCTCCCTTCCCTCCCTCCCCAGGGTCCCTCCGTCCCTCCCCAGGGTCCCTCCGTCCCTCGCTAGGGTCCCGGCGTCCCTCGCTAGGGTCCCGCCGTCCCTCCCTAGGGTCCCGCCGTCCCTCAGCTCTCTGGCTAGTCCCATTGGGTGCAGATTGCAGGGGTGTTGGTGGAGTTTTGGGGCACCTGGCGACGCCCCTTCCTCTTCTTGATACCGATACTTCTATAGAGAGAAAAGAGGAGGTGGACACAAGATGGTAAAGGAGAGGAAGGAAGACCAAGAGAGAGTGACAGAGAGAATGTCAAAGAAATAGAGGACAGAGATGGTTCAGAGGAAAAGGATTAGGAAGGTAGGAAAGAAGCAGGAGGAAAAGAGAGAGCAAGAGAGAGTGTTATAGTTCAGAAGCATAAAAGATTTAGTCAGGCTGGAAAAGAAAAAAGTGCGAAATAGCAACCAGCATAGAAGTGCATAGCAGAGTGTGTATGTACATGTATGACTGTGTGTGCATGCATGCGCGTGTAATGAGATTTTTTTTTACTACAGTTTTTGTGTGTAAGCACATTGGGCAGTCCAGGTGTACACCCAGCATGGTAGTAATTGTTTCCTGAGCTTCCTGTTCTGTACATACGTGAATGCACAAACACCCACACACAAAAGCGCGCACGCGCACGCGCACACACACACACACACACACACACACACACACACACAGACTTAAAACAGAAGTTTTTAGGCAAAATGAGACGCAAAACTGAATGAGGACAGTGAGCGGGAGACGAGCCTGCCTCAGGGAATTACTGTTTCTTTCTCTCCTCCTCATCTCTCTATACCTTCCTCGTGCCTCTTTCCTCTCCACGTCTCACAGTCGCACTACAGTGAGTCTTGCTGTTTCCTCTCCCTCCCCTCTCTCATTCCCCATTCCCACGCATTCTCCCTCGCTTCTCTTCGTCTTTTAAAAAAATTGATGTTTCTTTCTGCTTTACTGGACAGAATAAAGTGGAGAGAGTTAGTGAAGCTAAAGGGGGGGGGGGGACAAAGGGTCCTAAGCCAGTTTTGAATCTGTGACATTGTGGTTACACGGTGCTCAACTGAGCACAGCTGAGACGACGGCCTCTCTGTAATGTACACTTAATGCGTCTTCCAGGAAGTACACTGATAAGGTTGACTCGGGGTAAAATGATTTATCCTTCTTTCATTTTTCTATTCAAATGTAAACCAATCAGCTTCTGGCTGATAAACAGAAGCTAATGAGTTCAAGGAGGGTTTTTAAAGCTTTGAGACAATGTTTTTGAGACATTTTCAGATTTTTATCAACACCGAGATAAAAGTTTATTTCAGCAAAGACACAAGCAGCTAATATACAGTAGTGTGCTCACAAAACAACCCATCTAAGTAGAGTGTAGTTACCCACATCAGGTAATAGACTCACAGCTGGTCTTTAACCCAAGGTTAAAGGGGCACTTCATTCTAAATTAAAGTGTATTGTGCACTGTGTGAAAAGCCCATTTAAAGGATTTGCAGCACTCGCATGCTAAGACTATTTGGCCGCTAACTGCATGCCAACCTCATTGTACCACAGCTGAATGCTTACTTATAAGGAGGGATACACCAGTTGAGAGGCTATTTACATCATAATGTATACAAGCCTGGAGATGTCAAAACAAGTCACAATTTTGAGTAATGTAATAACAGAAAATGGTATCGGTATTTCTCCTGTCATGAGTTATTTAGTAACAAACCTGAAAGTATCCTTGGCCACCTGTTGACTCAAGATGTGTGATCAATGCACGATGGTTCCAAAGTCACACTTTAACAACTGCAAGGATATCAGAGCAAGACCAATGAAACAGTAAAGCACTCTAGCTACATTTGAGCCCACACTGCAGCTGGCTTTATCTTGGTCAGCCACAAGATGCAGAATCTATTTTCGAAATTTTGTTTTGGGGGCAGAGAGTGGGTTGCTGCCTTGCCCAGGAGAGTACATCTGTGCAGAACAGTATCAGTTAATTCCTGCAAATTCAAATAGACGTGGCTGTGTGCGCTCTCCCCCTGCCTCTCCTGCTGCATACTTTAACCTCATTTAGGTCGGGATTGGGAGTAAATACTGCGCTGACAAAATGAACTGATCTGAACCCGTCTTGTCACCTCCGGCACGTTTCATTTTCCTCTCCGCCTCTCGGCCTGATCTTTTCATTCACTGTTGACTTGCTAATTAGTCAGAAATGCCTCAAAATAATCTTGAAAGCAGCGGATGAACGGCCAGGCACTAAGACCCTGAAGAGACCCTGGCTCACACTGTTGTCACAACACTGCTGCTACTGCCCTCTGCACTCACACGCACGCACACACACACACACACACACACACACACACACACACACACACACACCTAGTCAGCCATAATCCACAATGCAGTATTTGGCGTTTTAATTTTCCCATGGCACAAGAACACCTCTAAAAAATTGAATGCATGAATGGACAGAGACACCAAATATGTCTCTTTCAACATCACAGTGTCTGCACGTGTGCTTCTGCTTGCTCTACTAGCAAGAACAGAGTATTCCTTAAATCAGGACTGTGCCTGCAGATAGCCTTACACTTACACACACATGCACACACAAACACACACCCACACACACACACACATGCACACTGTTGCTGTCATGTGTTAGTGTGTCAGCCAGTCTTGCATAGCTAGAGAAACGTGACTAGATCGGGAGCAGATTCAGCATCCTCGTACGTGTCTGTGTTAGTTTGCATGTCTGTGTGTGTGTGTGTGTGTGTGTGTGTGTGTGTGTGTGTGTGTGTGT